TGTGACGTTAAACATAATGTCAGATAAAAAAAGACACTTTTTTTAAACGAAGGAAAGTATTAAATTACATAGCCTTGATTTATGGCGCGTAATTCAAGTCAAATTAAGTATCTATATTTAATTTGTGTATTCTCACCGACAGTTATCGGTAAGTAATTATCATTATAAAAATTTAAAATTCTTCTTAGTTTGATTTTTTATTTTTAAGAATAATAAAGAATAACTATAGGTGAGCTAGGTCTAAACCTATCAAGTGGGCTGGGGGCTTGGCTGGCCTGGCAGAGGTCTTGGGCCTGATAGATTGGCCCAAGTGTTAGTTCGGGTTTCGGTCCTTCGGTGCACCGGTTCGGCTAGTTAATATTGTATTTGGTATTTTTCACTATTTCATTATTTATTTTGTGATTTTAATCTAAGTTTAAGGGTTGAAATTGAGAACTCACAATTTGAGGATTTGAGAGTTAATTCAAACTCAATTTTCGATGAAATTTCATATTTGAGATTCTAGTATTAATGATAAGTTGATTTTGGAATAAAATTACTATTTTAACCTTAAAGTTTAAGGTTGACCTTTTGGGGCCGAGATGAAAGTATATCAATATGAGTATCCAATAGATACACTTAATAGATTGGGAGTATTCCGAGGTGATGCCAAAAAAACACACATTTGTGAGGGTTTATCGATTATAATGTCTATTGAGTATAAATGTTTTTTGTATTCATATATATTACACTTATTGCATTTTTTTTGGTGCAGAATATATGTATCTCGATCATGAGTGGGTCACACTAATTGTTGAGTTCAAGTTCTTTATTTTCGGAGATTTTTGGTTAGCTGTTTGGCTAATCTGCGGATCATTTCCTTTTTTTCAGACAACGTATCAATTTTTGAACAATTATATGTATTATATTTATAGTCATTTTTATACACTTGACATTGAGTCTTGATGTTGTATTTTGTTAATTTCTACACTAGATTTCTATTTTAAAATTTCTATGATTTTAAACTTGTTAATATCTTATTTCCACATTATTTACTTGCTTTTGAATTAATTGGATGGTGGCTTATTTACTTGCTTGAAACAATTATTCCATGAAGAATACCACAATTATGGAACGCATGATTTAGTTTATAGTATATTCTTAATTTCACGTAGATATATGTCAACGTTAACAAACTTCACAAATCTTAGTATGTGATTTTCCAAATTTAAGGTTGACCAGTAATTATATAGTAATAAATATAACTTAGGTAAGTTTTGTGTTTGTATTGATTGTATTTCATAATTAACTTGCATAGGTTAAATCCAAGTGCAAACGTTCAAAAGCTACATTACAAATCAGACCATTATTTCCTTCACGTATCTCCCACCATGTTGGAAACGTGGCACTTCATGGTCATTATAAATATAAAAATATATATTTTAATAACGTTATGTTAGAATCAAATATCTTTTTTTCTCAAGAATGGAAGGATTTTATTTAGAGTAAATGATAAGGTCCATTCATACAAGAAGGAATTATTGAGAGCAGCTGATACAAAAGAAGGAGATGCTTAAAAAATACAAGGCTGATTACTTTTCATATTTGGATCATTTAATTTCCTTTCGTATATTGCTAATAGGTCTGCTACTACATTAACGATAACTGTTAAATTAGGTCTTAGGCCTAACCACACCCCAAAAGCTAGCTCAAAGGGAGGAGGATTTCCCAAGCCTTATAAGGAGTCCACCCATCTCATTAACCACCGATGTGGGACTTTTGTCATTCTTTAACACCCCACCTCACGCCCAATGCTTAGCATCTGGTGTGTGGGCAATTTTGATTTTGGGGGCCCAACATCGGGTGAGATGGGCCCTGCTCTGATACCATGTTAAATTAGGTCTTAGGCTTAACTCACACCCCAAAAGCTAGCTTAAAGGGAGGAGGATTGTCCAAGCCTTATAAGGAGTCCACCCATTTCATTAACTACCGATGTGGAACTTTTGTCATTCTTTAACAATAACACATATCAGTAGTAACATTCACTAAAATTTCATCTTTGTATGATCATACATATTAATTGTACTAAGGGTGTCTGATTGAGACTTGATCAGAGTATATCGAATCATTATAAAAATCATCGGATTACTATAATTTATAGCCATTGGAAAAGTAAAAAAAATTCATGATCAAACGTGTCCTTAGCAAAAGTAGTAAACTTTACTATTGACCAACATTAAGCTTTGTTTGGCTAGATTAGAATCAAGAAAGATAAAGAGTAACAACAAAACAGTGCCTTTTATTTGATTAAACTCCTTTTGTCTCTTATCATACGTTTTATAGTAGTAGCCCGTCCTTTGATAAATGTTTATAATTAGTTGTTGACTAACTTGGTCTAATCCAAAATTCATTTATTTGATACCACTAAACAATTTTTTTAATGGAGTGTTGGTTAAACATCTCTTTCTATGTTGGAGAAATTGATGATTTATATATTATATTTTGAAAGAGATAGATGACCTCTTCTCTTGAAGAGATTGATTGGATTTCAATTTGAATTTGAATAGGTATTAGAATTGGATTAATGGAATGAGAGTAATTAATTAAAGAATAATGTTTTAGTTGAAATATAGATTTGATAGGTAAATGAGAGTCAAGTTATAACATAATTGTATAGTTCGATCCTCCTACCACAAATCCACAACATTCCTTTCTTTCATTTTTTCCTATCGTATAATAATAATAATAACAATAACTATGTCTCGATTTTAAAGAAATTAGGATTGACTATATGAATTTTAATGATCTCTGAATTTTTACATTATCTTCAAAATATAGGAGATATGTTTTATTCAATAATTTAAATTTAATTTTAATTTGTGTTGAACTTATGTTGAAACTATCAATCTTGTACAAACAATGTCTAGAAGTAGGGTCAAATCTTTAGTCAATATATGAAGTCCATGTTGTAAGAGTCCAAATACAAATGTGCTTATTCAGTTATTTGTTTGACCTTTCTAGTTCTGGATTAATTGGAATTAGTATAAGAAAAAGTCATGGAAGACAAAATTTTATAAAAACTTTATTTCACTCTATGACCATCACAATAACATACCCAATATTTTCATACACAGTTGAATTTGAGAAGGGTAGGGTGTATGTGTAGACCTTATCACTATCTCAAAAGTAGATAAATTGTTTCTGATAAACCATCGGCTCAAAGAAAAGTAGTCCAAACAGTCCAAAAAAAGTAACAAAAATATGAAAAATATAAGATAGTGACAAAACAACAGAAAAGTAACTACAACAAAATAAAATGATAGACGAAGTATAAAAAATAACTAGTAATAGAAATCGAAGGACAAGCAATTACCGAAGCAATACTACAACTATTATACCTACTTCTTTCTACCCTAATATACGTCCACAACCATGTCCTCGGTAAGCTAAAAATGTGTCATCTAGATCACCTCCCTCAATGCTTCTTCGGTCTACATCTACCTCTTTGGAAACCATTCTTTGTCAGCCTCTCACACCTCCGCAATGTGGCATTCATAGATCTCCTCTTTACATGTCTGAAGCATCTTAGTCTCACTTCCCTCATCTTGTCCTCCACCGAAGTCACTCACACATTGTCCCGAATCCTTATTTCTAATCCTACCTCTCCTAATATGCCCATACATCCATCGCAACATTCTTATTTAACTTTCAACTTCTAGGCGTGGGAGTTCTATGACCATCACAACAGCAATGGAAAAATTTATGGTCAAAAGTCTTGGGCTCAGAACTATGAAATGTCTCCCTCCATTTCATATTAATTGTCGTATTTCATTTTTCGAGAGTTAAAGTTTTACGTTTTATGTTTAAGGAAATACAGTGTGTTAGAATATTAAAGTATAAATTATAGGAACCACATATTCTAAGTACTAAATAACATCCTATCCCTTCTAGTTTTCTATTTACCAAAAATCCCTTAAAAATGATGTTTGCGGGATACATAGCGTTGTGCACGGGATACATTAGGTTTGATACATTCCACATAGCGGGATACATAGCGTTGTGCACGGGATACATTAGGTTTGATACATTCCACATAGCGGGATACATAGCGTTGTGCACGGGATACATTAGGTTTGATACATTCCACATAGCGGATACATAGCGTTGTGCAACGTCCATATAATGATGATAATTGTTCGTTTGTGGGCTTCAAAAAAAATCCAAGAATGATGTGACTCGATCATATTGGGCCCATTAATCACCTAGGCCCAAAATTATAGTTGATTTCACGAAATTTTTTTATACAAATGTATAAGAGATGCATATACACCTTTATACATATTATATACGCTGCTTATACACTATATAATGTACATAAGGTATCACATATATGTTGTATGATAATGTATATGAGGTGTATACACAATGTTATACACCATTATGTATTATATATACACTGCTTATATAATAAAAATATACACCTAGATCCGTAAAGATTGATAATAGAAAATATGTTCTAAGAAAGATATTATTATAGTTCTTGAGTTGCTGGATTCGATTACAAAGTTTCTAAAATATTGCATCATTATAAATAGTAACTTGTCTAGCTGGGCACTTATATATCTTTAAAATACACTATTAAATAGTGCATGGGGTAATAGGTCATGCTCAAAATTTGGAATTGTTACAGCAATTTCGATCAAAGTTCGGATATATTTCAGACTTTTTTCCCCAAAAAAAATGTTTTTGTTATTTATACTCCGCAATTTACTTCTTGTTTTGTGACTCAAAAATTTGATTCTTCAGCATAGTAGATATAGCAAAAATAACATATAGAAAGTCATAAAACATAAAATAAAGGAATCACTCGATAATTTCCATGACAATTTTGTTGCATTTTCCTTGTTTATATCAGTCTCGATCGAACCACTTAAATGTAAAACAAGAAATTAAACTTAATAAGTCTCTTATAAATTATAGATTTTATTGTTGATCTCTAATTAAATTAACTAGAATTAGCAATGGATGCTGATGGTAGGTGGACTCTTCAAGGCAATACTGCCATTGTTACGGGAGGCACTCGAGGCATAGGGTACGCGATCTAATTTTCAATCGACTGTAAAATTAAGATTTGAATTTTATGAGTTTGAAATTCTAATCTATTTAATTTATCTTTTTTGGCTTATTTAATTTGCACATATTAGGCATGCCATTGTAGAAGAATTAGCAAGTTTTGGAGCAAATGTTTATACATGTTCACGTAACCAAATGGAGCTTGATGAATGTCTTAGACAATGGAAAGCTAAAGGTTTTAAAGTTGGAGGGTCTATGTGTGATTTACTATCAAGATCTCAAAGACAAAAGTTTATGGACAACGTTAGCAGCTATTTTGATGGAAAAATCAATATTCTTGTAAGTTCAACTATGCAAACGATTTCTTTAATAAAAAATGAAATTTACTGGCTCGATTAATCTGCATTTAAGTTATGTGATAGGCCTATTGAAGGAATACCTTGAGGTTTTTTTTTTTAAAAAAAAAATGTCCCTGACTAGTAGGGGTGTTATATATCTTGAAAATAAGTACAAGAGGGGGGCTTGATCTTTCCTCAGAAAACAACACAAGGATAAATAATTCATCCTTTACAAAAGGAGGGCTAGGAGATCAATATCTACGAGCTAAGCTTCGCACATCTAAGAACAAGTAAATTAACTAACAAAAAAGTTCGATTTGTCGTATCTGAGTCTAATGGATGACAGTTGACTCATTTGCAGTTTCGGCCTATTTTATGTTGGTCTTTAATTTTTACCCCTTCGGAGTAAATAATTATTTTGTTGGACATAAGTTTATTTTTTTTGTATCATAATATTTTATAAGTTATAACTTCGCATCTTTAAAGAATTTATGCCCCGCTAGGTAGGCATAAGTTCGATTTTTAGGGATAAAAATTAAAGATCAATATGGTAAAAAAAATTACTTCTGATAGACCTTCGACTCCAAAAATGCAAAAGTTCTTTCAATTTCTGCGTGAAGTTAATTAAACTCCATATAACTAAGTTAATTGTTGTTATTTTTTAGCCAAATATTATTAATTTGTTTTATGTTTATTAGATAAATAATGCTGCTGTAGTTGTATCAAACTTAGCAACAGAATCCACTCATGAAGATTACAACACTATGATGGGCATAAATTTTGAGGCTTCTTACCATTTATCTCAGCTTGCACATCCCTTCTTAAAGGCCTCAAAAAATGGAAGAATTGTTTTCATTTCTTCTGTTGCTGGCTTTGTCTCTCTGCCCTTATGTTCTATTTATTCAGCAGCTAAAGGTAGTAAGCTTGTTGGACTATAATCGAAAAATTACGGTTTATGTCTATTTTTGAAAATATTGATGTCACGTAGATATAACTGGATAATTTACGGGGAAAAATGAACTTGAAAATGAGTGATCTTGAATTTATTTTACCTCGTTTGTTTTATTTAGGCAACATTTTTATATTTGTCCGATCAGAAATTCAAGATCACTTATTTCAAGGTTATTAGGGTATTGTTTAATTACTTGTTATTGAATTTCACTTGTATACCCCCATTAAAGTGTCAGAGAGCTAGGCAAGTCGAGCTGAATTTGTACGGATGAAAACTGACCGAGTAAATAAACCAGTGGGTCGAATGGGCTGGTTTTAACATGTCCAAAGGTGTTTGGGTTGAGTCAAAATGAGCTAAACAATGACTCATAGTCCAAACCGCTCAACTTTATACCATTGTTATTAAGTTCTTATTTCTTTGTTTGTTTGCTTATTTTTGTTTACTTACCAAATAAAACTAATAACTTTCTTTAATTTAAGGCTATATATAATGCATTAAACAAAAATAAAGTTACTTTTGTAATTGTTTTAGATAAAAATGATTCATGGATTAATCTGAATTACATATTTGGTTCAAATCAATTCATTTTTTAGATAGACAGATCAAAATGAATGGAGTATATAAATAAACGGGTTATTAACCTTTTAAATTTAAATAAATTGGATGAATTATATTTTCATAAATTAATTTTTTAGACGGTGTAAATAATGTTTACAACTACAAGATGTAGGAATCTTGTTTGATTTATTTTCCCATTTTTTCCTGTAAATTAAGGGGCAATGAACCAATTGACAAGGAGTTTGGCATGTGAATGGGCTATGGACAATATTAGAGTTAATGCAGTTGCACCATGGGTAATCAAAACCTCTCTCATTGAAGCAGCTTCAGTAAGTTTAAGCATATTATAATAATTATGAGTTTAAGCATATTTCAATCTGGTTATTTTTTAGATCTGGATCTTAATTATTAAGATTTTTATCATTATATAAGTTTTTTTTTATATCCACTTAATGTATCTGTAGAACAATTTTTTATATTTTTTGGTATGTAAGCATTTTATTACCAAAGAGAAGTTTACAGCTCTAAAAAAAAAGAAAAAAAAACTATTTTGACTAAAGCGAACCCAACTAATAACCTTTCATCTCCTAACCATCTATCAACTCCTTTAGCTTGGATAGTAGTTCAACATCGTCAAGTATTTAGTTAATTTTACTTTGAGACAGCATCTAAAATATACGTCTTGAATTATTCTCTTCACAAGATCCGATATTTCTCTTCTTTTGCCTTGAAAAACAATTTGGTTCCTCTCTTGCCACATATAATAGATGCAGCCTGTTAAGGCCATTCTATAAATTGTTGTTGCAACACTATTTCCATTATGATGATTCACTGCCAATGTAAGTTCTTCTTCCATCTTACTTTTGAAAATACCCCTTGCACCAATTGGTACATCTTTTTTACAGAGAAATATTGCAATCTTTAGAATTGATCTTCTGTGTAACCAACAGCTTTCACGTACTCCGTAGCTTTGAAAATTTTCTTGATAAGCCAAGATGCTTGTTTTGTATGCTACAAAGACGACAATTCAGAAGATTTATTCATTATCGTTACGGTCATTAATCATCATTATCAACTATTATCGTCCATCCACCTGCAACCAACATCTTCAGTCATAGCAACTACCATCACTATCAACCACTATAACAAGTTGTTACCGCAATAAGTCACTATTATAATCATCATCACTAACTTCATTACCAACTCATCAATTACTATTGCTAATCACTATCATCGATCAGACATCACGGTATATTTTCAACCATCATTATTATTCATAACCACCATTGACTATCATCATCAAAACTACAAATTGCCACCATCAATTGTCAGTCATTATCATCTCTAGCTGCTATTTACAATCATAGCATTAACCAACACCATTCCCAATTGGAAGCACAATCACAACGCTAGTCATTATCATCACCAACCGCTATATAATTTTCTATAAATATGTTGTTAATGTAGTATTATAAGATTAATTTAGTATTTTCTTGAATTTTATATTTAGTAAGTTTTACATTCAGATTTTAAAAAAATAAATCATCTCAATTATTTAGTATTCAAATCTTAATGCATCATCTTAATTAATATTCATATGTGCATTTAGATTCAAACACTTTTAAAATAAAATCATGTCTAGAGTGTTATATATAGAATATATAAGGAGGGGCCGAGCTTGGTCTTACCTCCAAATATAACACAAGAATAAAAAATTATCCTTCACAAAAAAGAGTACGAAAATCTAACTTAGACATTCCAACCCTTTGCAAAAAAAAAAAGGACAACCTATCTAGCTAACTAACAAAGAAGTTTGACTTGTCATATATGAGTCTTATAAAAGTTCATTTGACTCTTATCTAGTTGAAACATAATAGGTTGTTCGTCGCTAATTTAGCAAGATGATTTGCAACCTTATTTGACCTTCCTGATACATTAGCAAGTTTCTTCAAACATTATTTGTATTTAGCTGGGAAAGCCTGTGAGATTCAATATTTTATAAACATCTTAATATTTATATATGTATTTAGATTCAAACATCGTAATTTTAATGATTTTTTGCAGCAAAATCCAGAAGTGAAAAAAAGGATCAATAAATTAGTGAGTCGAACTCCTATTGGTGGTCGACCTGGAGAGCCAAAAGAAGTGTCAGCCATGGTTGCCTTCCTTTGCTTCCCATGTGCTTCATATATCACTGGCCAAATTATGTGTGTTGATGGAGGAATAACTATTAATGGATCTTGTTAATCATTGTCATCACATAAAATAATAAATAAATAATTAAAACGTCATTGATTTAATTGTCAATGTTGAGGATTTAATTTATCAAAAGTCTGGAATTTGAATATTAATAGTAGTATCACCTTTAATTTTATTGATAGAGAAAATTGAAATAGAAAAGATACTTTTCTACATAGCTTTCCCCACCTAAGATCATATACTTATAGGCTTAACTAACTGCCTTCGCTATCATCACTTAGCCACCTTCACTATTGCAAGTTGTCTTCGAGCTCATGACAAAGTCAGAATTTTTACTAAAAGAATCTAAATTATAAAAAAATAAATGGACGAATTATTCGAAGAGGTTTAACATAATTATTGTATATACATAAAAAATATTTTTATCATATATAAATAATAAAATTTTCTGTTGAAGATAATTCAAATAAACCTCTAACTCGGTTCCACCCCTGTCATTACGTGCTATGCATGTGCTCTGGCCAAAATTAGTTACGTGTTAGGCATGTGTTGTGATCACAAATATAATACTTCAACATTTAACAATATTAATTAATTTTCTCTTTTGACATACTTTTATTAGTTTGTTTTTCAAAATTTATCTGATACGTGCAAGATCATAAAATTAAAGAATAATTTGATACATTTGAATAAAGAGCTAGAGATCCATTGTGGTACCATTATAGTAGTACTCTAATTGACATGATATATAAATTAGCTAGCCAAAATATTTTGACTATACATGTCACAAACTTTATTATAATATTACAGCTGTAATTGAACCACTTTTTCATGCCTTGCCTTAATTATTACATTTTGTCACCTATTTAACACAAAATTATATTTGCTTAATTCCTATTTGATCTACATTTAACTAGAAAGAACCATAAATGGCAGAAAAAAAGGAATCCAATAATAGTGAAGATGGAAGGTGGACTCTTCAAGGGAAAACTGCACTTGTTACTGGAGGCACTAAAGGCATAGGGTAAACTTATTTGAGTTTTAAGTGTTTCATATATCTATCGATTTTACTTGTTTACCTTTTTTAGTACATATATATATATATATATACTTTGATTGTACATTGTTATATACATCTGTCACACCCCTTTTTCGCGCAAGGCGGCGGAAGGGTTTTTCCAATTTAAGTGACGGTATTGATTTAGGAATTATTTTATTTTCGTTTCAGAGTCGCCACTTGGAATTGAGTTGTGGTGTTCCAAGTCACCTTTTCAAATCCTTAATCAATAGGAAATGACTCTTTTAGTTTTGGTCTACGAACTAGAAATTCGGGTAAGGAATTCTGTTGACCGAGAGGAAGGTATTAGGCATCCCTTGAGTCCCGTGGTTCTAGCACGGTCGCTTTTATTGACTTATACTTATTTTAATATGTTTTTGGATCATTTGTGTCTAAGGCCCTGGTTCACTATTTATTTTTTTTAATTGTTGAATTTTATTAGTCTTAAACCGGATGCATAACTGCATTCTCGATCTTGACATTTTAGAGACATAACTGTCTTCTTTGCATCACGCTTAATAACCTTATTTTTATAAGTCACTACCTTAAATTAATAAAACTAATTATATTAGTGGACAAGGTGCGTCACTGCATCATTGAGTTTATTTTAATATCTCAAAAAAGATGTGTAACCACATTCTTAATTGAAACAAATATTTTTTAATTTATTTAAGTGTTTGATCTAACATTAAAAGAAAATATGTATTCCTAAAAAAAACAAATAAAGTAAAATACTAAACTTCTAGAATAATTTTTTTTTTGATTATTTTACATATGTTTTTATTTTTTGCAATTTCTTAAAGTTGATGTCAAAATTAAGTGTACACTTTCTAATCAAAGAAAACAATATCGAATTGCAAAAAATAAATTTCATTTTTTGTTTGATAAAATAAAACAACAATAATTTATTTATATTTATTTTTTAGCCTAACTATACCTACTTTATCATTATTATCTAAATCAAGACAAGAACAATGTTATGACCTGTTCATTTTTAAGAGATCACAACTAACAAATAAAAATAAATAAATAAATAAATAAAAATCATCAATTAAAGCTACCTTCATTCATGAAATAGAGATATAACAACTAACAAATGAATCATTTCTATCAAATTCATGAATGAAACAAAATATAATAAAATTTGTCATAAAATTACATCAAATTCCATGAATAAATTAAATAAATAAGGCAAAGTTGAACCTTAAATAAAGAGAATAAGTACCGCAAAATCTTGATCGAATCTCGATTAGAATACCCACGAACCTTTTTATAGATTGTATGTGGTGGTATATGTGTTGTATTTATATGAAAGAAATGAGAAAGAAAACAAAGATCTGGATGAATTGATGTATTTTTAAAAGAAAATAAAAGAGATGTGAAGGTTTTTTTTTTTTGTTTGCTCGTGGGTTTTTATTTTTGGGATGAAAAATGTTTTTTTTTTCTTTTCCTTCCGTATCTCCCTGTCTCTGTGGCCATTGTAGGTAGTATATAAATGTATGTATATATGGGTGTTGTAGAACGTAGGTGTGTAGTGTGTGTGGATGTGGGGGGAAGAGTGGGGTAGTGGAGGAGTATGTGGGGTGAGGGTAGGTGTAGTTAGGGATGTGCAAAAACCGATTTAACCAATAAACCGAACCGAAAAAAACACTATTGGTTTATTGATATTGGGTTATTGGGCTAACGGTTTTTAAACGGTTTTGCAAATTTTTTTATTGGGTTATTGGTTCGGTTTCCGATTTTATAATTTTTGTTAATGGTTAAACCGATAACCCAATAAGACTATACTAAATTTACTAGTCTTATTATTAATGGTTAAACGATTGTTACTTTCACACTTTTTGTTAATGGTTAAACAATTGTTACTTTCACACTTCTTCCTTTGAATGTGTCTAGTGTCTAAACTTGCAAGAAAAATGATTGTTACTTTTATGATTTCATGCCAAATGCTAGAAAAATCATATGGTTTATTTGAAATTATTTTTATCGTGTATATAATATATATGAGTATTTTCTTATTGGTTAAACCGAAAACCGAACCGTTAAGTACCATAAACCGATTAACCAAAAACCGATAAGAAATATGTTATTGGTTTGGTTATCGGTTTGAAGTATTTACAAACCGAAAACCGATAAACCGAACCAATAACACCTAAAACCGAACCGAACCGACCGATGCGCACCCCTAGGTGTAGTTGGGATAGTGAGGTAGTGTGAGTAGTTTAGGTTATTATATTTATTAAAATATATATATATATATATATATAAACCATAATAATAAAAATATTAATTAATTATTTTGAATTAATAAAATATGAGAAAAGTCAAATAGCTAGTCTAAAAATATAATTAAGAAATACTAGCTTATTTATTAAAATTAAAAGAAAACATATATTTTTTGTAGTTTTTCAATCTTTTAAAATAAACTTAGTAAAATACGATGAAAAATAAAAATATTTAATTTATATATAAAAGCAATATTTATGTACTAAAAATGGTGTAATACCTTAAATTCGGTCAAAAATTACGTGTCTACAGTTTGCCCCTCTTTGACTGGAAACACGAAGAGTTTTCAGACAAAGAAGTAGACAACGTGACAAGTTTTGAACGGACTCTTATTCGAAAAGAAAAATATACGACCGAGTCCTAGTTTTGAACATCCTACATATCCCGGGTTATAGGGGAATCAGGTCACATGTAGTTCAAAGAAATGAGGTGATGAGTTTGAAGTTAAGTGAGGTTTTATCGAGGCTCCAAGTTGCTGTTCCTATCCTTACATAAAAATAATGAAAGCTAATAGTCAAAAGGAAAACAAAAGTACAAGCTCCTATCTATACAGCTTCTCTTGAGTCTTCACTTGTGTCTTTACTTTCAGATATCACCTTGATTTTTGGGTGAGTATCTTGATCTTGAATTGGATTGAGGCTTAACTTGCCGCTTAGAGTGAGTTTTTGGCACTCTTCAAAATGACAATTTGAATATGTTCTTGAATGACTGCATGTTTTCTTGATCAGAAGCTGAATAAAAATAGATGTCAGGAAGTCAGGCTGTTATATGCATTAAAGAAGCTGATTCTGACTATCATGAAATTGATCATTCTGAAAAAGAGTTGAAACTTTGTTCTTGAATTTCCAATCCATGTTTCGCTAGAAGAACCCTGAAAACCATCACAAACAAAAGAAATAAACAAAAAATTTGACCTAGTTTTCATTGGAAAAATTTTGTGAGTTATTAGCAAATGTAAATTTTCAAAAATAAACTCAGACTAGGAAGTGTTTATCCTAGGAAAAAAAATAAAAAAAATCTCATTATGTAGGAGGGTCCCGCTAATCACATTGTGTAGGAGGGTCCTACTAATCTAAATCTCATTATGTAGGAGGGTCCTGCTAAACTAAATCTCATTATGTAGGAGGGTCCTGCTAATCCCATTATGTAGGAGGGTCCTGCAAGCTAATTCCATTATGTAGAAGGGTCCTGCTAAACTAAATCTCATTATGTAGGAGGGTCCTGCTAATCCCATTATGTAGGCGGGTCCTGCTAATCTAAATCTCATTATGTAGGAGGGTCCCGCTAATCCCATTGTGTAGGAGGGTCCTGCTAATCTAAATCTCATTATGTAGGAGGGTCCTGCTAAACTAAATCTCATTATGTAGGAGGGTCCTGCAAGCTAATCCCATTATGTAGGAGGGTCCTGCTAATCCCATTATGTAGGAGGGTTCTGCTAATCGAAATCCCATTATGTAGGAGGGCCCTGCTAATCCCATTATGTAGGAGGGTCCTGCTAATCTAAATCACATTATGTAGGAGGGTCCTGCTAATCCCATTATGTAGGAGGGTCCTGCTAATCTAAATTCCATTATGTGGGAGGGTCCTGCTAATCCTATTATGTATGAGGGTCCTGCTAATTTAAATATCAGTACTTTGGAAGATCTCAACTAACAGAATCATCAAATAAAATCACCACAATATTTTATCCCTTTTTTTTTAGTTTTTAAATGTCTTATATTAGGAAATGTTTATCCTAGTAAAGAAATAAAAAATAAATAAAATAAAATAAAATAAAGATAATTGTCTCACACTAGAAAACGTTAATCATAAGAGAAACAATGCAATAATTTTTTTTTTTTTTTTTTTTTTTTGCAACAAATTTGGGTCTTCAAGATATCTTTTACGTAAGGAATATTTCCCTGTTTTTGAAAAGAAACAAAAGAAAGTTAATGTGTTTTTTTTTTTTTTAATGGTGGTCGATTTGTGGCATTGGCTTTGAGGATAGTTACTCCTGTTGTTGCCATGTTTGAAGCTAATTTTAGCTTGAAATTGATTGCTTTCGTTTGCTAGTTAGCTCACCTTGATAATCTTGAAAACATCTCTAGTTGTTCAGAATTTCCAACTTCAAATTTGTTATATTGTTTCCACCCTCCAACAATAATTGAACCTTGTATTCAAAAATTGTCAATTGCTGACAAGTTACTATGCATATCACTATTTCTTTAATCATGTCACAATTGATGGGCTAATCAAGTTTTGTTTTATGCAATTGAAGAGATGGTAGCAATTTTGAAATCATTTTCTGTCTGCTTAATGAAGACTATCTCAAGATTGAATTGAGCGAGACGCAAAATAAAAAGAAATAATATTTGATCCTTTTAAGAAGAATAAATAAATAAATAAAAATAAATTGATTTCATTGATAGTGATGGTCAATTCTAATGATCATGACATGCTTTTTGGATTAAATGGTCTAGTCTGTTCAATCAATCTAAACTTTATCCTTGTCAAACTTTCAACTTTGAAGTCAGACTTCTATAATCCAACTTTTGCACTAGATTTATGACTAACACTTGACTAATGGTGCCTCGAAAGGTTTCACTAACATGTCTATTTTTTTATTATCTCTCACTCACTATCGTCTT